AGATGGGACACTGGGGACCCACCATGTCCCACAGGACAGATGGGACACTGGGAACCCACCACATCCCACAGGGTTTATGGGGCCCCTGGCACTGGGGACCTGCCACCCATCACATCTCATGGGGCATATGGGACACTGGGACCCACTGTGTCTCACAGGGCATGTGGAGCACCCAGGCACTGGGAACCCACCACCCATCGCACCTCACAGGGCTTATGGGGTGCTGGAGACCACCGCTCTGCCCTCAGGGTCAGTGGGGCACTGGGGACTCACCACCCACCCAGAGCCCATGAGGCACCCAGGCACCAGGGACCCCCCACCCACCACTGTGTGTGTCCCCACTCACAGCTGCTCCTGCAGCTCCAGGATGACGCCCTCCAGCTCCCTCTTCTCCAGCTGGTTCTGCACCATCACCTCCTCCAGACGCAGCTTCAGCCGCTTGTTCTCTGCCTCCAGGTCCTTCAGCTGCGACTCCCGCAGCCTCACCAGCTCCTCCAGGTATCCCTGCATGAGGCCACCATCACCACCATCACCCCAGACCCCCCCTCCATGTCCCCAGGACCACCCAGGGTGACAAGGAGAGAGTTGGGTCACCACAGCAGCGGGATGAAGAGCTGTGGGTACCACCAGGCTGCGGAAGCAGGGATACAGTGGTGGGATGCTCCAGGCTGGACCATCCTGGAGGTGTTGGTACCTGGATGGCCCCATCCTGACTCCTGGTACCTTTTGGGCATAAACGATGCGGAATTTCTGCTCCATCTTGCGCCACTTGTTGTACCAGCTGTCCTCCAGGGGCAGGTAGGGGTGCTCGGGGGTGCTGTCCTCGCTCGTGCTGCTCTCCACGCTGCCCCGCTCCTCCTCCTCGCTCAGGTGGTCGTAGCTGTGGGAACGGGAGCTCATCAGGGATGGCACCATGGGAGGGAGCCTGGCTGAGCCCCACCGGGGTGCTGAGGGACAGACAGTGGGGTCCCCACCCCAGGGAGGACCACGGGCTCTTACGTCTGTGTGAACTTCAGGTAGGGCGTGTAGTCGATGACCACGGGCGTTTTACCGTCCATCTCCTCTCCCTTCAGGCAGAAGCTGAGTGGTGGGAGAAGGAGCAGAGAGTCAGGACAACCCCAGGGCGGGGCAGTCAGGGCAGGATGCCCTTGTCCCACCATGCCACACATCCCTACCTAAAGTCGATGGCGCTGAGCCCGATGAGCATCCCCGTGAGCACGGCTGACTCCTCCCGCAGCATGATGGCCCCGTCATCGTAGAACCGCCTACGGGGAGAAACATGGTTGCACCTGCCCCCACCAGCACCCCCCGCTGTGCCCACCCTGGTGCCCCCGCACACCCTTAGTGTGGTGTGTGCCATGGGCTGCTCACCTGGTGGTCCGTGTGTCCCGCAGGGCTGTGGAGATGTACTCGGACATGCGCTTCTCCATCAGCGCCACGCGGATCCAGGCCCGGCCCTGCAAGGCACCGTCCCACGGGGCAGCCCTCAGGATGGGTGTCACCATCAGTGCCCATCAGGTGCCACCATCAGCTGACCCTC